TCTTTAACTATAAGAATTGGTTTCTTTTTTTTTTTTTTTTTTTTTTCAGTTAAGACAGTAACAAAATTGGAAAATTTACTCCTCTCTTTTCTTTATAAATAATTCCATATTTATAAGGATATTGATTCTTAATTTAAAAGCTTTAATAATTTGGGTAGCAGATGAGCACCCATAAAAGCGAACTGAATTTCAGTGTGTGTCATAACTAAGACAAATATATCTTCCAGTTATACTTTTCAATTTAATTTGTTGACCCTTAATCCTGCTCTTATCCGGAAGATTGGACAGTGTTCAGGTGCTTTTATGTACCATTAATTTTTTTTAACAATATTTAGTGTTTCCCCAAGAAGACTTTTAAAATTTGTGCTTTCTAAGAATGTTGTTTTCCCTTTACTGATACATCATTCTGAATTTGTTTTCTCAGTAAAGATGATAAATTCGTATTTACAGGCTAACAGCTTTTGTCCTCAAGTCCTTTGCACAGTCTCGTGGGTTTATTTTCATTGACCCAAAAGAACTAACAGCTGCCAAAGACTGGATCATCCAGCATCAGAAAGAAGATGGTTCTTTTCCTGCTATGGGCAGGATACTAAATAAGGATATTCAGGTAAAAACTATACAGACTCAAAATCATGCAATAGGTGCATTTTTAAAGTTATTATCAAAGCGTGAAGTGATGCAGTTTCCTTATGCCTAATATGAATATTGCATTTGAAAGGCTAGAATAGTATAGGAAGAACCAGGAGAATTTCAGTAAAAAAAAAAGTCTGTCGGAACGTATCTGTGTGCTGTCCCATGAGAATGGAAAGCAAGATGTCAAGTCTTGCAAAACACTTCAGAATCATGTCTCGGAGTATGAAGTTATGTGCATTGAGTGTGTTCTTAGGCTATTGCTAGGGAAGGAAGCTACAGTGTTGGGTTGGGTTCCTAAATTTCGTACTCCTTGTGTGCAAAGGAAAAGAAGTTCTGTGATGCCACAGCTTCTCTTATAACGTATTCTTCATCTTGCTTCAAGAGTCTTTTTATCCAGTGTCCTTTTCTCTAGTTTTCATCTAGTGGTTTGTGTTTGTTGCCCTCCAGGGTGGAATCCATGGTAAGATCTCCCTGACAGCTTATGTGGTTGCATCTCTTCTAGAAACAGGTGTAACTTCTGAGGTAACAAAAACTTAGTTAAAATAGCTCTCGTGTTCTACATATTCTAAAAATTCTCTTTTTTTTTTTTTTTTACGTTCTACATATTCTAAAAATTCTCTCTTTTTTTTTTTTTTAAACGATTTTACTGCTGTTCACTTTCAAAGGTTCTGTGCTCGCTAGAATGATAGCATCAGGTGACAGGGCTGTTTGAAAGCCTTGAGATTATTCTAAAGTAAGGAATCTATTCTGAAGTTATTCAAGGTGATCTCCCATCCTTCAACCATCAGCTCGAGGTTTATTCTACCAGAGCAAAACTCCTCCCTGCAACCCCATCCCCTAACCTCTCCCAGAAATGGCTGCAAAAATGTTTTCTGCCTTGTAATTTCAAGGTGTGATTGCAGCCTATGCAGATGCTGGTAGCTTGCCTATATATACTCAAAAAAACTTTAACTACCTAGCTTAGTGCTAACAGCAGTTTAACTAGGGCCGCATAGGCTTCGGGGATCCAGAAAACTTTTGCAGTCTGCCTTTGCTATAGTGGCCAAAATGCTACTGCTATTAGATTACAGTATCTTTGGAGAGCTGCACTCCTGTAATGTGCTGGATTGAGGACTCTGGAGAAAAATGTTTCTCTTATTTGTAATGAGACAGAACAGGAACACTACAGAAAAAAGAATAGCTACATAGGAACGTGCAATTACGCTGCATAATTTTTGAAGTAGGAAAAAAAAATCACTTTCAGTACAACTTACGTTTTAGAGATTCCTTCTTAAAACACATGGTAAAAACAGTGCTCCTCTCCTCTGTTGTATTTTTGCCTGCATGCAATTTCACTAGAATGGAGGTACTCAGATAACATCGCAGTTAAACATTCCCACTAACTATGACTGGGAAAATGTCCACTTGCAGATGTGCTGAGCAAGTCATGAATACAGTTCTGCACTTGCTCTTCAACAGCCAAGGGAAAGAGTGGTGGTGGGTGAGTAGGTCTGTACAGGTAGAACTGGAAGATTAAAACAGGAGGTGTAGTGGATGTTGCAGCATATCTTGGTCATCAGATGAAAGGATTGCCCATTCAGGCAAAACCCAGTGAGTTTATGGAGACTTTGAAAAAGCAAGTGCAAAGAGCAGTATCTATTCAGAAATGCTGTGATAATCAAAGCACTTCTGATGGCATCCCTGTAGAGCTTGAAGAGCGAGACCATGCTGCCATTGCAAACAGATAGTCCCTAACCCCCAGTTCTTGTTGGAGTGGCAGGCCTTCAACCTTATTAAAAATTAAAAAAAAAATGGAAAATCCTCAAATGCTCATAGAGTAACTTTCTGCCTCCCTGTCGACAGTGGCCCCCCCCGGCCCGAGAAGTGATGTGATGCTCTCTCTGGGCTGCTGTGTGTCAAGACAGCCCTAGCATTTTTATTTGCTGGAAGTGCAGTTTATGTGGATCTAATGGTTTTCCTAGAGGAGATTTGCAAGTGTTACTAATGATCTTAGCTAGGAAATGAGGAAGGGGAAGGTTAGTGCCACAGGGAAATCAAAGGAAACCAAATTACATCAAGTCCAATTAAATTGTTTCTATAAATTATCAGAGCCACGTTCCTACGTGGTGAGGTCATTGAGGGAGTTAATAAAACATGTTTGTTGGCTGCAGGGACCCCTGGGAACCTTGGCCTTTATTATCCTCTGGCGTCTGCTAGACGCTCCAGAGTGTCAGGAACACAATCAAACATACAGTAGAGAGCTCGCTTCTGCTCTGTTCATCTGCTGCCTTGCAGGGGCATGAAATTTCTTCAGCTTTAGGGGGAAATAAATGTGTCTCAGTGTTAGTCTAGATCATTCTTGCTATGCTATTTGCTCCTTTTTTGAATTTGTGATGCATGGCTTTTCTTAGGGAAAGGAAACCTTTAGTGTCATTCTGCAGAGAGCAATCTTTCCTAGGTTAGGGGTTTTTTTAATGGACACAAAGCAATGAGAAATAAAGTGATTCTAACTTCTGAGGTATAGAGGCTGGTAATATGTCTGGGCTCTTTCCCCGAAATATAGGAAGAAAGAACAGCTGTTGACAAAGCAAAACACTTCTTAGAGTCCAACTTGCACTCAGCAGAAGACCCCTACACTACTGCCTTGACTGCGTATGCCCTGACACTGCTACACAGTCCCTCTGCTGCTGTGACGCTGAGGAAAATGAACAGCATGGCTATTACACAAGGTACTGTGCTTCTGGGTCCAATCTGGCAAGTTCCTGAACTGGCAATCCTCTTATAGGAACAAGCAAATAGCCCTTGCTACTCGAATGATATATTCGAGTTACTGGAGAGGATAGGGCCTGTGAGATGAGGTCTTTCTCACGGCACAATTTGACTTTGTAAGGCAAGAGTTTTCCTGATTCTCTGTAGAGAGGGCTGAGTACCTTAGTTTCACGTGTGCAGCTGATGCTGAAGGAAGGCAAGCGTACCAGAGGCTCTGCAGTGACTTCCCTGTCAATATGACAGTTTGCCTTGTAACACGTCACATTCCCTGATGGTGTATTTTAATCCAAAATCCAAGAATTACCTAATTTGTCACGTTCAACCATCTTTGTAACTGCAAACAGAGCCTCTTGCCCAGGGGATGCTTGTCTAAAAGGAGGGACAGTGCAATTCAGGGTATGAATCTGTTCTTTGAGTCAATACAATAGTAGAATTTGATTCTTCCCATTTACAGAGGCTTAGCTGTAGTCCTGCTGTAATAACATACATATTCAACTGTCCTATTTTTCTAGATGGCTTTACACACTGGAGCTTGACGGGAACTCTTGTTACTGATGAAGATACCTTCATGGGATTTAATGATGGTCTCTCTCAATCAGGTACTTGTACTGCAAAGACAGAGATAAGGGAATGGGCTGCAACAGCAGGCCACTGACTGCATGTATTCTAGTGAATTGTTTATATAAGACAAGGTATTCTGAAAATGGCAGTCAGTCAGGTCAGGGTCCAGATGAAATGAGAGCTCATAAGAGGCAGGTAACGTTATACTGAAAGAGCTGGTTAAGAGCAAATGAGAGACAGAGCTAGATGTGGTCAAGACAGGACTGGCTTTTCAGTCCCAGCTATCTCACCATTTTTCACTCCAGTTTTATAAAGACAGTGAGGGATACAGAAGAGTGAGAGCCATATGGGATTCCGTCAGGGAGGAATCATTGAAATGGAAATCTGAGAGAAGTCAAATACGTTGAATCTTAGAGCTGTTTAGCTTTGTATTTTCAAATGGACCTAGGGATTATATACCCAACTTTTATTGGCAGCCACTGGCATTTCAGCTGATTTCCTAGACTTTAGCTATCAAAGCCACAACAACGGTGAATGATGCTATAATTTTCAAGTCACTTAAAGCCATTGACTCTTCTAATATGATGTAGGTGCACCCATGTTCAGGAGGGATCTAACTGGATATTGTATGAAAATCTCTAGGACAGAAATACAGTATGGGCAGCAGCAAAGTAGAACTGGAGTGGGAGAGAAATTACTTATGGGGTACAATCAAGTAGAAAGAAGGTTATCTATTGTGTGAAGGGAACAGATTATGTTGGAAGCAGAGATATCTTTGGAAGATGATGCATCTTGGGTGCAGACATCTTTTAACTTCGTTTTTCTCTTCCTGTGTTTACTTCTACAGACTCTTAACTTTTTTTATTTTTCAGTTAATGAATATTCATAGAACTATCTCTAGACCTGCTCAGATTTCTCACTTCTAGATGGTATTTTGATTTTTTAATTTTTTTCCCCCTTCTCTTTCAGTTGTTTCTGCAGAAGTGGAAATGACATCTTATGCCCTTTTGACGTACACGCTCCTAGGAGACGTGGCCTCTGCGCTCCCAGTAGTAAAATGGCTTTCACAGCAGAGGAACGCACTTGGAGGATTCTCATCTACTCAGGTGGGCTGCCTCCAAAAAAGGTAGCTTCAATGCGTGCACCATCAATTGTAGAAATCAATTGGTTCAGGAATGGTCAATGCAGAGTTTCTGTCTGGAGTCTAGACAGAAACTGTCTGTGTCCTGGTAGGAAGAAAAACTTCCCAATGCTCTTTATTGCTTCCTTCTCGGACTGATAATTTGAAAGGAACCTAGACTTTGTCCTTACAGATGTCTTTGACCGCAAAAGTGAACAAAACCTGATATTTATTTTGCTATCTGAATGAATAAGAAAGATTCTTCTACCAGAAGCTGATGACTGTACAGCACAGCGCTTTTTTGTAAGTTTACTATGCTCCTGTATTCTTCACTATTCTGATCTCTCCCTCTTCTGATCCCTAGGACACATGTGTAGCCCTGCAGGCTCTGGCTGAATATGCTATCCTTTCTTATGTTGGAGGAGTCAACCTTACCATTTCCTTGGCTTCTACTAATCTAGACTACCAGGAGACATTTGAGCTTAACAAGATGAATAAAAAAGTCCTCCAGACTGCAGTGGTAGGTGGTTTTGTGTTTATGTAGCCAAATTTTTAAAACGATCCATGTGAGCTGGGTTCGGAATGACAACTCAGATAGGTTCAGTAATGATAAAAGCACAAGTTAAACACTGTGAGATCTTGGGACTTTCTGGGGTTTTATGGCTGGGTTCTGATGTGAAGGAGGCAGCACTCAAAGTTAAAGGCATTTTTCACCATAAGCAATGCCTGATGCTTATTTTGTGCTGCTGCTTGTTTCTACCACTGTTAAATGCAGGTGGCTGAAAAGAGTAAGCCATACTCGCTTCACTTCTGCAGTCTCCTTTGTAATTGGAAAGATCTTTTGTACAGAATAAAGCTAAAATTGATATTCATTTCCATTCTGAGTGGCATGTCTTGTCTGTGTCTTAACTGTGGATTCTCCCCAGATCCCCAGTATTCCAACGGGGCTGTTTGTGAGTGCCAAAGGTGAAGGCTGCTGCCTGATGCAGGTAAAGTTGCCATGGGGCTGGAGAAAGTTATGTGAGCAGGTGATCTCTAAACTCACAGTCTGTTTGCTACTTTTTTAATCCCAGTTTGCTATGAGGAAGGGGTTACACTTTGAATTTCTCTCAAAGTATTTATATAATGTGGTGTTGCTTTAATTCATAGAAGTAAATGTGATTGTACTAGGGTGAATCTGCTCTGGTATAGCTTTACCTATATATAACTGTGTTGCAAAGCCTCTGTTGCCTCTGTGCCTGCCATTTCCACTCTCTCTGAAGAGATCTGGGTTTATGCTGGCCTTTGGGGAACACTTGTAGATGCTATGAAATGTTGGGGTCTAATAAACTGCCCTGATTTGTTTTGTTTCGTGTGTGTCCCCCCCCCTTTCTGCTGCAGATTGATGTCACTTACAATGTACCTGATCCTATTGCCAAACCAGCTTTCCAGCTCCTGGTTAACCTGAAGGAGCCAAAGTCAGAGCAGCATCTTCAAGCTCCAAATCTCCTGCGGTCTGTCTCTCCAGATGAGAATCGCTCTGAAGCCTTGCACAGAGAGAGGGCACTGGTGGATGATGATGACCCAGCTTCAGATCAGGACCATCAGGAATACAAAGTCATACTGGAGACGTGCACTAGGTAGGAAATGCCAGTCTGCATCATGTCCTGCCTGTTTCTCAAGAGACCGTCTGGTTTGCTGATCAGCACATCTATACTGAAACATTCATTGATACAGGAAAAATACCAAATTCTTTCTTGCTGCACTGTCTGTATCTCAAACAGTGTAAGCTAGAACACCTCACATGCAGAATGCAGAATTTCAACCATAATTGTGGGTTGTAGGACAGAATTATTGCATGGACATTCATGAGCATTGTCTGCTGGCATTAATAATTTTAGTGCTAAGTATGTGTCAAAGGTAGAGAAACAAGAACAAAATTTACAAAGAGGGCAATAAAACCTTGGGGTTTTATTATTAAGTTTCATTATTGCCTCTCCAAAACCTGAAGACGACAAATTTAATGTCATTTGCTTGTATCAGGTGGAAAAGAAAAAGTCCTGGATTATTTTCTAGGTCTTCAGTAACAGGCTTTCCTTAAAAGCCTAAAAGAGCTTGGTAATTTCAACTGGTTAACTCATATCTTAAATGTGTTGATAGTTTTATAAATATTATTGACTTGACTTTAAAGTTTGAGTTGCTTATTCTTCAGTTTTGGATACCAAAAACCTAACAGAAGATGCTTGTTGCCATGGTATGAATTTGGAATCTATGGTAAAGGCACAATATATGCAGATACTTGTTAATAAGCTGTCTAAAGCTCATTGCTTATCTCCTTATTCTCCATAAAGAAATTTAAAATAATTTTTAAAGATGGCATGATACTAAAGCTCCAGAAGTTTCATTCCTAGCTCTCAAAGGACTTTGCAAAGACATTAGCAGTTCCATCTCATTTTACAGATTGGGAAACTTAAGATATTAAGAGAAAACAGCTTGCCTGTAGACAAACAGCAGCAAGAATAGTTTCTGACCTGTGTTCAATCCACTTACACGTTTTGCTTAAACACGTCAGTGTTTGCTGCAGTTATCAGGAGTTGCTGATCTCTTTAGAAAATGTTTTGGTTTTTAAGGACGTTGTTGGAAAGTTGGCCCAAAAGAGGGAAAGCCACAACCAAAGTAAATAAGGAGGACTTACAGCATCCTACTGTGTAACAGAAGAAACCATTCCCAAGAATTTCATAACTATTCTGCATATCTGTGACCAGGAGCATGGCAGGTGGTGGGGCTACAGCTTCACTGAACTGGAACAGCAGAAGTCAAGTGAACAGCTCAGATGTAATTCATGGAAATGGAAAACTTTCACTCCCCTATCAGTTTCTGTCTCCTTCCTTCCTGCAGAGGCAAAGCCATATAGTGACTACAGTCCTGAAAACAGTTGCAGTGACTCCAGACAAAGATGAGATCTTGTTATCTCTGTCAACACACTTGCCCCTTGCTCATGTGGCCATGTTGCTAGCAGAGGCATTGCCTCTGATTGCTACAAGCCTGTGAAATCCTGGGCCAGGCATTTTTCGGCCTAGTTGAATTCTTCCTCCCTCCAGTAACAACAGCCGGTGATGAGCAATTCAAACTCATCATCCAAAAGTTTGGTAGGGTCGGTCTGGCTGTATATAACACAATATCACTTTCTCAACCTCTTCTCCCGCTGCCTAAGCACTGCAGCTTGTATTGGGGAGGTAGGCTTATAAAGTCTTGTCAGTCCCTTGAAGGTGCCTGTAACTAAGGAGGCTGCCCTGCAGCAACACAACCTTTCTGTTGTTATTTCTGAAACTTCTGCCCTGGGAATTGCTGGAGCAAAGACAGAAATTTGAGAGGAAGCCCAGTCCAAGGAGATTGATTGCTTGGAAAGAAAACAAAAGCAAATGAAATCTTCCTTTTCCTCCCCTTCTTCCTGTAATGATGCTCTTTTAACTCCTTCATCATCTTATTTAGGCAATGCGAATAGAGGAGTGCATCTAAGGATGACAATTGAAATATTTTGAGCTGGGGGTGTTCTTCAGAATGTAATTGTTTTAAGTGTTGTCATGCTCAGTGAAGTCCTTGGGGCACTTTTAAGGAGTTAGGGAGAAAACAGTATGGGAAATAGAGGACTGATATAACAGAGAGTGGGAGAAATGCAGGTAAAGGGATACCACAGGATTTTTTAGGGAATATGGTGCATGGAGTTAGATTGGGATTAACGAGGCTTAATGTCTCTGGGAGACTGTCAGCCCTGAACTGTCTTACACAGAGCCAACTGGATCTGTCCACAGACCATCTCATGCTACTATGGGCGTATGAGCTTGAGTGTGGCATTACATGCAGGTTGGCTCCGTGCAGAGCTTCAGCAAACACACACCCACCCCAGCTGTGGAGGCCTCCGTATAGAGGCCTCCAAGTAGCCCTGCTGGAGCCAGTTCAGATCTGGCAAATTTAATCCTGGAAGCTGTGTACTGTGTCTTCTCAGTGCTGGGCATGAGCTAATAAGCCCTCCTGGGTCCAAGCTCATTGTCTTTGTGGTGCAACTAAACAGCAAACAGGTAAGCTGCCAAGGAGGGATAGTTTAGAGCTGACTATATGTGAATGCAAAGAAAAGGAGTGTTGTTCTGGAATTAGCAGGAGCTTCTTTGTTACGATGTCAACTCTTCTGCCATGCTGCAAAAAATTGAAATCTTTTGCAATGGCCCAAATAAACTTTCTCTCCACCCCTTCCTGTGGTGGGTTGTTTTTTTTTTAATGCACACTTCAGCAGTAACAACTCTGAGTTTCAGTGGGTTTTTTGAGTCTTCATTGGTATTATAGAGGACGATATAGGCAGCGAATTCTTTAACACTAGTTACTAGAGAGTGAGGTTGCTGACTCATTAGCAAAGACACTTTTCTCAGTGTCAATTAGATGCTGGAGGGAAATGGCCATTTATGAAACCCTAGGTTTGAATGACTCTGCCTGGTATTGGGAAGTAACATTCCTCTTACACCACAATCCATTTACAGCCCTCCACTTAGGAAAGAACAGAAGTTTCTTCTACTCCAAGGGGTTATTCCCTTTTACCAAGTGCATTTTCTCAGATTAATTGAAAAATGAGGCAAGCAGCCCCACAGGAGACTACATCCTTCCTTCTGCTTTTCTGCCTCCATTTGCCTGTATATCTCCTACATCTCTGACCTCTGTGAGTTGTGCTTAATTTTTGTTGAATAAAAGCAGAAAAGAGGATTTTGTAAAGCCAAGTAGACTGTGGCTTTCAACAAGTCCTTCAAAGAAGAGTAGATCCTTTTAATTTTTTTTTTCCTCTGAAGTTTGTTTCAGTTGTTCTTCATCCTGAGTTGTCCATGTACATTTGTTATCTTGGATCCTGAGTTTGTTTTCATTCTTTCTCTCTTTTTGTTCTCATGGGAAGATGGCTGCACTCTGGATCTTCTAACATGGCTGTCTTGGAAGTGCCATTGTTCTCAGGGTTTCGTGCAGATATTGAGAGCCTAGAGCAGGTAAGATGCTGTAATGAGAGTGCAAGGCATGATTTTGGGCCAGGACCTAGCTCTAATTGGGGAGCAATAGGAAGCAAATGCCATTGGATGTTAGAGCACTGTCCAAAAAGACGCAATTAAAACTGGGGGGGCAGGAGATTTCACTTGTCAAAAAATATTTATCTGAAATGAGTAAACAGATGTGCTGAGCAAGATTAACAAATTTACTGAACATGGCCAAATGAAGGTTTATTACCGAGCACAGTGCACAGTAATTAAATGAGACCCATTTGGAAATGCTGAAGTGAAAATGTGCTCTAACAGGAGCTGTTTATGGCTTCTTAGTGGGCTGTGTTATCTCCAACATCTGGATTCCATTTCTTTGGAGGCTCTGTGTCTTGGAATTTTTTGCCCTTTTTTTTTTTTTTTTTTTCCTTCTTTTACTTCTGGGAGAACATCATGTTTATTGCAAGCCGAACTGAGGTGGACAGAATGTGCCTCTTACCCAGCCAGCCCTCTAGGGGAGATGAACTGTAATCTTTAGCTTTGCTTTGTATTTTGTGGAAGCATTACACTGTATTCACTGGTGGTTTTTATGCTGCAAATAGAGTTTTTAAGGACTATGTGTAAAATCCTTGCATCCTGGAGAACTGGTAAAGAGCTAAAAAGTATTTTGCTTCTAAAAGATCTCTTCTGTTAATAACTCTATCATCATTATACTGGGGGGGGGAGGGATTTGGGGAAAGAATTTTAAAGTAGAATCGTAGTGAAGACCAGGCAGTTTAATTTGACATCCTAATTCAAGGAAAAGTGCACATTGCTTTGTCTTCTCTAGGATTTCACTTGATTTGGCTAATTTATAATATAAACACCATTGCATTTTCTTGGAGAAAATGAGACCAATATGTTCCTCTTCAGGGGTTTACAATCCATGTCAAAATCTGCTGTCAGATAGTCTCCTGGACTGTCATTGAAGCTAGAGAAGCTTGTGTGTTAGTCCCTGCGAAGAGAATTGCATCCTTTCAGTATTAGGTAGCTGTGCTGGAATACTTTTGTACAGAGATGTGTGTTGATCAGATATGGAATTAATCCTGTAAAGAGAAATATCAAAGTTATTTTATATCTGTTCACTAGCTGCATGTTGAGAATTCCATTATCAAATGCATGCATGTAAAATGTATCAATTTTTATTTGTCTGTTGACCTTTGAGTGTGATATTCTCTCTCACATGCAACAAATGGTGCAACAAACTGAACATGGCTATTCAGATGAGGCAAGACCACCAGTAGGAGGTCTCCAGTATCCCTGTGGTAAGAGAAAGGAGGAAAATTAGGTGAGGGGGCCTGTAGTGGGTTCGGTTACTATTTTATCTCCTCCTGCTGAAGGTGCTAGAGCAACAGTTGTTTGTACTGCTTTCAAGTAAGTTCTCTTTCATAGTAATTTACATTAATGGCAGAAAAAATATGGATGGAAACCTGGCTTAGGACCAGAGAACTCAAAATGGGACAGGAGGAGAACAACAGGATATCTTTATGGTGTTAAACCCATGGAATGTTTTATTAGCAGAGGAAAAGGAGGAGTAAAGGGAGGGAAAGAGTTGAAACAAAGTGTGCAAAGGGGTTTTCATTACAGAAGAACAGAAAATTTGTTAGGTTAAGTAACAAATCCCTGTACTCCTTATTTTTCCTGAAACGAGCTAAGAAGAAATTACAGAAGTAGGAGCTCCCATTGTCCAGGCTGTACTCAGTGAATATCTCCTTTACCGGTTTCAGCAGGGGACAGAGTTAAGAGTTTCTAGGCCGAGAGTCCTGAGAAGGTCCCGTAAGCTCCTGTGTTACAAGGGAATGCATAGGTTCTGTCATTTCAGTCCCTGAACTTTTTTTCCTTTTTGCCAAAGCAGCTGTGCTCTGGTGTGAGGCTTGTTTACATGGCTGGGCCAGACAGGCGTCCCGGATAAAGACTTGTAAACCAACCATGCTTATTTTGTATTTAGTTACTACTAAAAGGGGGCTACATGCAGCAATCTGCTCCTCTGCTGTGCTGATGGTTTACACTAACCTGAGTTCAGGGCATGTTGTACGTGTTCTAGGTAGAGGAAACGCTGAAGACAATAGTGAATATATGATTAACATTAGGATATACACTCTGCAAGGAAACTCGGATTCTGGTTCCCCAATGAACTAGCTGTATAATGTTTCAAAACACTTTTGTTTGCAGTCTTATTCTCTCTTGTCTTCTAGTGTGTTGCTATAATCCTTGTGCTCTGTGACATCAGCCTGCCTCCGATGTTTGGTTTCTCATGGCTTCAGAGATTCTTCTGTCACATTCAGTGCCATCTTACTGGTGCCTCAGCACTGCTAGTTCCTTGGCCAGGTGCTGGTCAGCACTCCTAAATCAGAAACAAACAGTGGGCGTGTGGAAACTAGAGCAGAGAAACAGGGAGATTTACCCACACTGCTTGTGTCAGATAGATGCATCAAACTCTGGGAAGCATCATGTGTCAGCTTCATACCCTTCCTCTGTTCTGTCATATCCCCAAACCTGGCCTGGATGGAAGCAGTCAGAGGGTAAAAGCACGCTGCCCTGCTGCTGCACAAGAGTTATTTTCTCAATGCTGAATGAGCTCTCTAGCGCTAAGCAGATGAGACGATTGTGCTTTCCCTTGTGGCATCTTCCCACCTGTCTGAATTTCATGTTCCTGTCTCTATGGGTAGAGAAGCAACAGAGTCACAGTGTAGCCCCATCTACACTGGCATAGGGTCTCTGGGCATAGAATAGCAGGTGATTTGTTTTCCTTTCTCCCCTGTCTTAATGGGAAAAGGAGCTGATTCTCTTTCTTAATGGGGAAGGCCGAGCTCCTGCAGCACAGAGCTGATCTGAGTTGAGTCCTTGCAAATCTCAGAAGGATGTCAGGTACTCCATGCAGCGCGTACTTCTTCAGTGTTTGTCAGATACGAAAGAGCTGGTTCAAAACCCACCGTTTTGAAAGTTCTTTGGGCAAAAGACTATGTAATTGGTGCCTCGATTTGGAGAGAGGATTCTGCGCTTGGGATTCAGTACTGGGCAGTCCATTTCCATAACCAGAACAGAATTACTTCCTTTGGGCAGTAGGAGATTTTGCTAAATTGGGAAGGATACTACCATCTTTCTTAGTGCAGAAACCCTTTGCATTTGTAAAATTAAATGTAGGGACAAAGCTCAAGCATATATATAGGTAGGCAGTGAAGATGCACATACAACCCCTGTGATTTATTAATGGCTATCAAATGTGTATCCAAATCATGCTGACAAAAATTAAATACTTCCACTGAAGACCGGGTACTAGTTTTGTCGTGTGTTTTGGACACCACCTTCAGCAGAGCCCTGTCATTCCCACTGCTGCATTTTCTTGTTCCCCTAGCCATTTCCCTCTCCTCCTGGTGAGGAGGGGCAGGGCTGTAAATCAGATTTCCTTGTTGTTTGTTTGCCCTCACAAGGGAGCAGTGTGCGCAGAGCGGACCCACGTGCAGCTCCGGGGCAGTGATGGTTAATGAATGCTCTGTTGCACGTTGAGGGCAGCCCCCCTGGCTGTGCAGCCACAAATCCTTCTAATAATGCTGGGTGTCGACAAGGTCAGGAGGTCACCACAGGCTGGTATATATCAAGCTTCACCAGAAAAATGCAACTTTAGCTGAGCTGAGCATTTCCCGGTGGCGCCAGCCTCTCCAAGCCCTCATAAAAGGACTGTCTGCAGCCATCTACTGCTGAGGAATGACAGCCACCATCAGGCCCCTAAAATTATAAGGACAAATTAAATTGGCCCTTTCCATATTGTGTGGGACTTAAACACATGTTCCTTTGCTTGTTACAGTAATAGCAGGAAGCTGTGTGCAGGGTTTTACAACTAGACGCACTATGCTGAAGAAATTCACAGTTAAAGCTGTTGGTAGCAGGTTTGGGCAAATTTCAGTAGAAATGCTTTTTGCTTCATGTCATTCTTTCTAATGCATGATAATAATGCTTCGTTCTCCTTTCCGCAGAGTTTTCATTCTAAGATCTCAAAATAACTTGGGAACATTAAAAAAAAAAAAAAAGCCAAGGAAATATTATCCCTATGTCACAAAAGGGATTGTCTGACAGAGAGGTTAAAGTAATAGGACAGTTTGGAGAATAGAATTAAAGTATCTGCTCTGACACTTACTCCGCTCCCCAAACTGGGATTAAAACACAAGAGTCCTTTTCCACAGACCATCATCCTCCCCAGCTTCTGGATTAAATATTTTTCACGATAGATGTGTTCTGAATACAATTTATCAAAACAGTAATGACCAATTGACTGATCAAGTACATACAGCATATGACAGTCACTACAATATCGAGATGTTAGTATTCCAAATACAGAAAATCATAGGAGTAACTCTCTTGGAAATTTTAAAATAAAACTTCATAGAATTATATCAGATGGTAGCATTTATATTTTGGTGGTGATTCATTAGCATTCTGTACCAGAGAGATAGTTACTAGATTCTTTGAGGTGGTGCAGTAATTCTGTAAACAAGGGCTCTTGCACTTTCCTCTGAAAAGACTGTGATCATGATATACATACAGACTTACAGTCAGCATGAGGAGATGAGCTAGAGCATTTTTACAAATGGCTGGGGTAGATTAGGGGCAGCAGCAGCCCAGATGTGGGAAGTACTCTTAGATTGTGTTCTGATACTCCTTAGATATGCAGATTGTCCCAATAAATAAAAAGCATAAGAGGAGGTAGTCTGTGGGCATGACTGGTACAATGCAAACTACAAATCCCTGGGCCTCAAAGGGGGAGAAGATGAGTAGCAGAGGCCTGGCCTGACCCCATTCGTCAAAAGGAAGGATGCCTAGGGCTCTTTCAAATGGCTGCTCTTTTCAAATGTAAGGATTAATTTTCTTGGCAGAAGAATGTTTTGGATTTTTCAGCTGGTGGGAGAAGGGGACCTTTAATACCCAGTGCGATCCAGCAGCATAATTCCCTGGTGGTCTGAAGGAGTGTAAATTAGAGACTTTATCGAGTGTTTGGGGATCTCTGAGGTCTTGCTTGAGCCTTGGTACTGAAAACAATCTGGGAGCTATTCAATTAGATTATGGATGATATGTCAGGCATAGTCTGAGGGAGATAAATGCACCAGGGACCAGGAAGAACCCTCAGCGTTATGCACCTTGCAAACATTCCTCCTTAGGTTACAGAAAAGAACACAGATGGCTTTTTCCTCAGTTGTGTGACAGCAACTGCAGTCCTCTTTGCATTTCCCCTCTCTTACTGAAACATCCTTTTCCAGCACAAGAAATCCCCGGGGTTTAGTGTCTGATCAGTTTTCTAAGTAGTCTAAAATCTTTCTTATTTTCTAATTTCAACCTGTTTTCTATAAAATGAGATGAAACTAAACCTGTTGATTTTTTTTCCCAGTTACTGATGAACAAGCAAATTGGATTAAAAAGATATGAAGTGGATGGAAGAAAAGTCCTCTTTTATTTTGATGAGGTAATGACTTTGTTTCTTATAATTGTGTTCCTTTTCAATGAAAGGCAAATGACCAGTGGATCAGGCATAGGTACAGTGTATTGATGTTGATGGTCCCTCACAGGTGAGGATTACCATGCAGCTTTAGCTGGCCAGTTGCTTGAGCCTCTTTTGAGGCAGGTAGGTGTTGCGGTTTTGGTTGGAAACCAAAGCATAATAGAGGCAGGTGATTAGCGTCAGCCCATATAGAATTTCTGGGCAAATATTACTTAGTTTTTGCCTCAAAATAATCTCACCTTCAGGTACAACTAGCATTGCTAAAAGGACGGAGTAAAAATGCAGTCTAATTTAGATCACACAGCACATACTTGAGAGTGGAAGATGAGATCTCTCTTGGCTTGGTCACGAGCAGTAAACTGTTAGCTAGTTGCGTTAGCAAGCTGGCTGATGACCGGAGTGGTGTTAGGTAAGCCAGAGAATACAGCTTGAGTTTCAGGTTTGACTTTCTGACATTGTTGTATGGCAAGTATGTGCTTTAAAGGCCAGCAAAGTATCACGTATTTTAATTCATCCTGTTTGGCTTTTATTCATTATCTTTGTCTCTATACCTAGTATTGGAGGTGTCTTCGTTCTCCCCAAGTGTCCAGGCCAGCGTGTTACATTAGGGGCACATACTACATTTATTTGTCTTTGTCTTCACTTAAAGTGCAGCTTTTGTTACAATGAGTCTTTTACATAATTTCATACAGATTCCTAGCCAGTGCATGACGTGTGTAAAGTTTCAAGCTTTCAGAGAGCATATAGTTGGGAAAACAGCTCCTGTTCCTATCAAAGTGTATGATTACTATGAGCCAGGTATGTGCCTGTTTTCCCTTGATTTTTGCCAGCATTAGAGCTCTAGGCATAAGGCTCAGTTGTGATTTCTCATTCTTGCTGGCCTGCAGCTTTTGAAGCAACTCGTTTCTACAACGTGAGTGAAAACAGTCCCTTGGCTCGGGAGCTCTGTGATGGGCCAACATGCAATGAGGTGGAAAGCTCAGCTAGCCAATGGGTTGGTAAGTTGCACCAAAGCCAAGCAGATTTTTTGGAAAATGGAGCCCACAGACATACTTTCCAGGAGTTCAGAACCCAAAATTATATTTAGAAAAATGTTCTAGTTCACTATCTGTGTTAGTGGAAGTTTTACAAAGGTTTGTGGGATAGCAGTATTAAATTTAAAACAGCCAAACAGACCAATGTAGTCTGCTCTTCAGTCACCAAAGTGAGTATTATTTGCTTCAGAGGCAAGATATAATGTATAATTCTGGACGAACCTGCACAAGGTGAGATGTGTTAATAAACATAAAGGTAAAAACTCTTTAAAATGCAATTTGGTTTTCTTTCTCTAAAATATCTTGCAATAGAGTTCCACAATTAACTGTAGGAAGACTGAACAATTTCATGCATCAGTGAAAGGAATAACTTTCCCCAGAAACTATATGTTCCTTTCTGTCCTCTATGTCATATTAAATAGTTGCTTTATCCTGTATCTGGAATCTGCTGCAATATGGTTCTTTCAGAAAGACAGCTTTATTCCCAGAGCTTTTTATTCTACCATGTTTGTAAATTCCTATGAGAAGTCTTAGGGAATTCAACATGAAAACTTACATCAGAGAAATAGAAGAAAATTGCCACTCCATCTTCCCCTTCCCCATGCTATGCAAAAATATTGCTTTGGATGTTTTTGTTTACTTTTCAGGCTTTGTTCACTCTGGACCATGCAATAACATTTTTGGCTGCTTGGAGGATGAGTATTTTGAGCAGTGCATGTGTTCGCGAGACTGTGGCTATGATGGGGAGCCTGTATGTGGATCAGATGGACAGATTTACCCGAACCATTGCCAGATGGAAGTAGCATCGTGCCGGAATAATACAAGGATAGAACAGATGCCCATGTCGCAATGTTCTGCCTGTACGTTTCATTCAGTTCCCTTTTCTGTTATGATCTAGTTGCAGAACGCTACAAATCTTTGTCTAAGCAAATGATAATTACATATGTGTGGTAGGGAAAAGGGGAGAATTCGAAACCTCCTATGTATTATTTTGCTACTCATACTACAGGAGATTAAGTTCTAAGAGCAGCTGCCTTCCTGCTTAGCTCAGAATAACTGGTTTTCTGTTCTCGTTTTACCAATCAGAATGAACTTCAGAGAAAATTAGTGGTACTGTCTTATCTGAAGTGAATTATCCTAGATAAAAATGACATCCATTAAATGTAACATCCTTTGGAGATTCTGCATGGGCTTTCAAGATGTGTAGTGCAGTAACCCAGTGAACTGAGTATGCCACCTCTGGAAATGCAAACGTTTTCTAGAGATTCATTAACAAATTTTAGGACCAATGCATTTATTTTTCTTTTTATTTACAGCCAAGAATTTGCCAGAAGAAAGGGAGACACACTCCCACACAGTTGAGCAACCCAGTGTTCAACAAACTCCAGCAGGTAGTATCATACCTTTGCATTTATCCAAGGCCTTTTTCTTTAGCAAGGTTAAAGCTTATCCTATAACTGTATAAAAGTATATATGGTTCTTAAGCACATTTAAGTAAAGATGCTGGATTTCTTAATCTTTTAGAAAAGACAGAACATTCAGAAATCAGAAAAAATGAAGAGGTTAAGGAAACTTAGGATGGTAACTATTCAACAACAGATTAGCTCTTCTAGTCCTTTTCCTTTCAGGGAATCTTGCATGAATGATACCTGCTCTGTTCAATGCACATGCAAGATTTAGGTCATTGTTCACAGGAGTGGGCAAGTGACCCTCCTATTTTCTCAGTCTTGGCATGTTTGAACAACACACACTCTGTGATCTTTTCTTCAATATTAAGCTGAAAAGATCACTTTTAAAACCAGGCTGATGTAATGTGTTTCAACGAACAACTGAATGGGACATAACAACAGACCAAACCATTGCAAGAACTAGAATCCAGGTGGATTAACTTTGTCCCTAGCAGTTCTGTGCAAAAATTGAGCTGGCAGTCTTGATTCTCTCAGAGCTGCTGTTTGGAATAAAGGGCCTCAGTGAGCAAAAATGTTAAGGTCAGTAGATGGAGTAGCCAGGAATTTGGCTGCTCATTTTATTTGGTGCTTATATTCATACACTGTTTTCCAAGACTCATGTCGAACTTGCTCATGGCTCACAATAAATCTCACCAAGAAGCAGTGGAGGGTCAATAGAATAGTTTGTTTCATGCTGTTTCTAGTAAATAAACTGGACTAGATTTTTCCTGGCTGCTTTCCACTCATTAATTTTCCCCTGGCCTGTAACTCTCCTAACAAATCGGTAAAGCAAGTTAATTCTTCAAGAGAAGACTCTGTGCCTTCTCATGTCTTTCTTGTGCACCAGAGTTCAGACTAGCATGTGTCCAACATGAGAGACACCATCCTGTTCTTTGCCCTTCCTCTGCTCTACAGAAGTTGATGGACAGTTTTCTTATTAAGGTGTAAAAGCATGGTGAATATTCCATTATGACTATAGGTCATTCAGTCTTACAGCGTTTAATGTCTCTCCTGTTTTCCCTCCCTTTGTTTCTGGATTTAGTGTGAATATATACATAAGATTGCTGTCTGTTACAATAACCGAGATGAATGCTTGTTGCTTTTTATTCTGTGCAAATGCTATGTACTCAGCATGGAAACTCTGTTTGCGATCTGAACCCTTTAAAGCAGCATTTCCAAACTGCTCTGTAGGGCACTGCTAGTATGCAAGGCCATACTAAGTGTTTAGCTGCTGGTCTACAAAATGGGACTGCAATTACATTATCTTCAAATAAAAATTTGATAGTAAAAATACGGTTACCTGGGAAAAAAATTGTGGAACTTGACAGTAGTCCACAATCCAAAAATTTTCAGAACAGTGTTTCTGCAATAATCTGCATTAAAGTATCTGTCTAAGAAAAATAACCCTCTGGTTTCTGTTCTAAACAGACAAAAGCAATGTTGGCTCAGTAGGCTATCAATAAGAGCAAAAGTGGAAATTCTGATTTTTTTTTTTTTTTTTGTGTGTGTGTGTGGCATTTTTATACAGATATTAGTTTAACTAACCTGTATGCCATAAGGATGTTTGTCAAAGCACAAGCATTTAGAGCTGGCTTTGTTCTAGGATCTGTGAGCGTTGAAGTTGAGAGTCTCCTGGAAGGCAGATACTCTTCTGAACTGAGCTGTCTGAGCAGCCATGGCAGAGTGAGCATTCAAAAGTAAAACTGACTAAATCCTGCATCAGGAAAAGCGCCCAGCATGTGATTTTCATTAATCCTCTGGGCTCCTCTCAGGTCAAGCACACGGTACATGAATCAAAGTTTAACAAATGAATGAATCCCTTCTTATACACGGGTTTCATTTGGACTCACTGGTTTGTTAGCATTGAAGCATGTGATTGGTTTAAGTCGGCTCAGGTGCTCTGGGTTTCTAGTGAACGTTTTGATGAGCCATGTCTAAATCTGCGATTTCCTAAAAGGGTGCAAAACTCCAGGAGCCAAATCAAGCTTAGGGCAGGTTGGTGAAACTGCCTCAGTGTGTTAATCTTCAGGAAATACCATTTTCTTGGAGAACCTCGTGGTGTTTATATAGTCTGAAATCCTTCTGTATTTGCCATATGACTTGTGCAGGCTCAGCTTGGTTTGATTGATGCTTTCATTGTTAGCTCTTGTCTATGTTACCCCAGCAATGGAAACAATGAGAGCCAGCTTCCTTCCAGCAAACAGTGGGGAACTTCGTAATGTGTTCGGGCTCACTCTGGCAAACACAGACTTGCAGTGTAGTTCCACATACACAAGTGAGTTTGCTAGAACAAACAACAGCTTTTGAGTTACGCTATTCAAGGTAAGCAATTGTATATAGATGGTCCTGAAAAATCAGGATGCAGTGCTTCTTGCAGCACCTAGCTATTGTCAAAGCATTTTAAAATGCCTTTCAAAAGTCAGCAGCAGATGTTGCAGCAAGTGAGGCAGAATGGCTGAGGTTTGATCTTAAAACTGTAGCCTTTTTTTGTACAGATGGGTAGATCCTCTTGGCATCTTTAGAAATATCCTCTTGATTGAGAGGGAAGTGTGCAGGGTGACAGGACTCAGCTGAAACAACTCATGTCTGAATCCCCTTCCTCAGCTGTTCTTTCTCACAGGTGAATTACTGAGACTCAGAGGGATGGAACAGGTTTTTGATGAGTAGCATGGCCTGCCTCTAAGCATTGAAGTTCTGCTAGTATGCTTTCAGAGCCTGTTCCATTCATATTTGTTTGGACTGAAAGCTCCTGGAGCAGGATTTTTGTTGCTAACTGGAGTATCAGTATCTCGAGTGTCTGTGGCTTTCCTAACATCATTGTCACACTAGGCTACAAAAATATGGGTGGATTTCAGAGCCTCAGGGATCCTCAGTAGCTCTGATACCATCTCTCTGATGAAGTGGTGCTTTGATTGGTTCCATAGATCATTAACACTCTTCTGAAATTGCCTAAATCTTCTCTGATGAAAGTGCTAAATGTATAGCCACTGATGTTGGAAGACAATACGTTGATATCACGGTAATGTTGTGATTCTGCATGTATTTGATGGAGAAGCGATATCAAAGTGTGGTGCAGCAGTACTCAGTGGTATCAGTGCTGCTGTCGTGTTGCACTCCGCGCTGCTCTGAGCGGGCAGCCCACCCAGCTTCGTGCTGTCTGACCCCCCCAGCCTTCTCCCCACAGCTGGAGCCGTGTTATTTGCACAGTTCTGCTCTAGCAGTTAGAAGGGCCAGTAGCTGGAAGTAAATTCTAGGTGGAATTGATACTTTTATTTGGTGGTGGTGGTGTTATTTTTTTAAAAAACTAAATGCCATCACCCATCACTAGCTCCTAACAGGAACGTCAGAGTGAGCTCTGCTTCCAGGTGGAGTCATATCGCAACGCTCCCTGGCAGGCGCATTATTCACAGGACCGCTCTTCTTTTAGGATTGATTGAACTGGCGATGGGCCATTTTTCCTTTCACCTCATCGGTGCTCAGCAAACATTGGCTTAGGCACAAACATTTGGAGATGGGGGAGTGGTTTGTATGCAACAGGAAATGTCGGCCTTTCCTCTTTGCTTTGACTCCAATGCTGCATTCCTGGGAAGAGTGAGGTCTGTGATGTTAATTCTGTCCCTGGTGGACAGCAATCATCCATTCATAGAACGAGCTCATGATCTGGCAGGTTCTCACATGGAGAAGGCCAAGAAGAAGTGAACACAGAGACCGACTGCTTTCAGGCAAGTGTTCCCTTGCCCAGGGCTGAGCCTGTTGCTGGGAGGATGTGAGAGGCAACAGGGAAGAGCCTTCAGATATCTTATTTCTAGAGAACAAACATTTTCGAAGGCCTTGATGAGTGTTCTCCTTAAATAACGCCAACTTTGCAGGAGGGGGCGGAGGGGCACTTTTCCTCCTCACAACAACTATGTTTCAGTGATTGCTTTGGTTTGGATTAGAGCAGTGTGTATGGAAAGTGAACAGGAAGATGGACAGCTGAGCTGGCTCGAAGAACAGTTTAGAAAACAGGGACCTATTGATATTCCTAGAAGTTTTATCTTGCAGTCTTACCCTCTGGACAGCGAGCAATCACCCACCACAGAGAGGCACAGCCTGTTTTGAGTGGGATATGTACTGTGTGAGTGACCTGCCCATGTCTTAGAATAGACTGGAGTGAATGCAAGGAGGATAAATATCTGTTTCTGTTTGTGATGTGTCTGTTCCTATCTTAAATGATGGAAATTTCTCAGTGGTATGTGACTGTGCGGAAGCAGATGTATCTCAGCTACTGCTAGTTCAGGCCGAGGGAGAAGCGAATGGCTTTAATGTAGGCTCCTGGCCTATTATGCCAAAATCTTCATTCTGGTTGGGCTGAAAAGAAATCTAGCTGCTTAAACTGATCTTTTTCGTGACATGCACCAAGTAAACTGCTGTAACACGGTCTGCCCTTTAGCTTTGTGACTGATTTTTATAAAATGGTGCTTAAAAGAATGCACACATTACACATCTTCGTATGGATTGGTCTCTCCTTAACTGAGGTACTTGGCTTGGACCTAGTCAAAGGAGAGAGATGTATTTTCAGGGTGCAGAGTAAATCGTCTGTGACATCTGGTGTTCCCAAAGATATCTCTTACTCTTACTGTAGAGAGGTCTTGGTGTGAACTGGTTCCTAAGTTAAGCACCTCCGTTAATGCCTAAAATTAGATACTTGAAAATGAAACTTTGAGATTTTTTTTTCAAATTACATGGGCCCCCCTTTTTTTTTTTCCTATTATTTCTTTCATTTTTCCCAGTGCCCGAGTCTCAGACTGGGAAATTGAAAATTCTGTTTTACAGCAGCTTTTCTCCTTGCATGTGAATGTAAGCATGCATGTGCAGGTCCATTGACATGTGTAGCCTCCTTTACTCATGTAAGGCACTCATTTGGCCCCTGATTTGCCCCCTGATTAACATTCCTTTTCTTTTATGTCATTCCCCTTCTCTGTGATGCAATACATGATGCTGAAATGCAGTTTCTTTGGCTAAAGCACAACCTGAGACTCTGGTTTCTTTTCCAGCAGAGGAAGGCCCTCCGCTACAGACAGATCTGTCATACTACTCCTATGAATATGACCCAGACCCCTATGCGTCGGAAGCTGATGTCTTTGAGATTGTGGCAGAACTGACAACAGCAAGCACGTTAAAAGAAGTGGACAAGATTCAGGAAGTAGTGACCACAGTAGAATGGTGAGCCGGAGAGCGGGGGATCATAAATCTGGTTAGGGAGTCAACATATAATGTACTAACTCATGTGTTGGGTCAAATGTATTCAATTCCTCAGAAGGGGTGTTCTTACAACTGACTTGCTAACCTCTTTAGCAAGGAATCACCAGGAACAAGATCTTGCTAGGGCAGCACATAAAAGTCTTTGTGACCTGAATGTCTCCATCCCTAGCAGAATAAAAAGTGACCTTTTAAGCTTTTCTCTGCCCAGCCCCAGTGATGTTTCACAAAGATACGTAACGGGAAAGTGACTTTTCTTCATTATGTTCTCTTTTCAACAGAAATATATAATTTAAATAAAGAGAAGAGGCTCAGAATCAACTCCTGTATGAGTTTGTTCCTACAGACGACCTGCTGCAGAACAGAAACCGAACGATGACTACTTCCTGATGCACTCAGAACTGTAGGCTTTGCTGCCCCATGGGGGGGGATCTGGAGCGCTAAGGGGGACACTCAGCGTTATTTTTCTGTCAATTTTCCTGCCTTTTGTGCATCCTCTTTGGATTACTTCCAAGGATGGGAGACCAATATACTGTGCCCTCTAGGTGAGAAAAATAGGGGCTGGAATTCAAACCTATAGACCATTTCAAAGTGTTTTCTCTACTATCAGGATACTGCAAATGCCATTTCCTAGCTACATTTAGAAGCTAAGTCCAGGCCTTGTGCTTAGCTGAACTGCTGTTTGAGGAAAGATGGCTGAGAAGTTTTCTCTCAAATTATAATAATAAAAATCAGTGTGTTTTGCTAATTATGACATAGCAAGAGGCTAATCATCTTCCTCAGCCCATAAGTCTACTGCACCCACAGCAATGTCCCACAAGAGAAAAACTTCCCTAGTGGCTCCGTGTTCAGGAAAGTTGTTGGGAGGTGGTACATTTTACAAGAGAAAACTGAAATCCAGTGTCAGGGCTCAAAGGCTTGACTGTCTACTGTGTGGCTGCAGGCTTCAGGTGGGGAGTTTGCCAGCCATAGCGGTGCCAAGGATTAGGTGGGTGAGCCCTCTTCATGTTGCACTATGTGCTGATGAGGGCTGCTTGCAGCCTTCTCAGCCCCTTTCCTCCTTGTAACCCTGGCATGAAAATAAAGCTGACCCAAGGCGCAGTCCTTTGAAATGCTTGCCTGACTTCACCAATTGGTTTTATTCTGCTCCCACTAGGATCCCCATGCAATGGTTGTTCTGGATATGGTAATCTATGCACAGGCCCTGGGTCTGCTGGCCAGTACAAATCACTGGTGTCAGAGGCTGGACTCCCTTAGACTGACCTGCCCCAAGCAATGTGGTAAAACTAAAAACAAAAGCTTTGTGTTTCCAAAAGTGCAGGAGCCAAGATTTTTTTCTTTCCCTTCCTGCCTGGAGCAGCATTGTTCTCTTTGGAGGAGTTACATGCAATTGCCTGTTGCAAAATAGTGTTAATATTTTATCTTTCCACTTCTATTGTTACCAGGACCCAGAGTGGGGTGGAAACTCCTTTTGAGGGTGTTTATTGGTGAATGGAAACAGGAAAAAGCCCAGCTCCATTCATTTTTAGGGCTTGTTTACACAGGAACCATGACAAGAATATATCCCAGTATAGACATTCCATTCCAGAATAAAGGCAATTTTATTCCAGAAAAATGTCCACATGGGGACAAAACAGGAGGTATCCCAGAAGTTGGGCATATTTAGTTTCCAGTCCTTTTTGTCTGGGGCCAGATATTTGCAGAATGTAGTTGACATGATGAAGGTCTGGGTCTTGAAGTTCCCAGAAACTTCAGAACTGCTTTGTTGGCAAGTTTCCAAGCCTTCCTTCATGGCTGCTCTGAGCTTTCCTCACAGGATCTTGACGTGGCTGCTGCCCATATGTACCCACTGCTTCTCAGCAGAGGTTTTTGCCACGTCTCTTTAGTGTGCATGAACAGACCATGTCCTCACTGTGTCCGCACAGCACGGCAGAAGCACTGGTGGCTGCATTCCTGTCTGGCAGGTAAATAAATGCCTTTAAACTAAATTCCATCTCCTGTAAGCAACTGGCCTGGTAGACACTGGCTATTGTGTACACACACAGGACTGAGTCAATATTTATCCCCTGGGTAAATAACAGACCTAGTGTGAGCTGCAACAAGAGGGTGGTTTTTTTTCTTTTCTAAATAGCAAAGCTGCACAATACAAACCCTGCTGTTTGCTGGTTCCAGCCTCAGCTGTTGAATGCTTTGAGTCTGGGAGAATTTAGTCACCCTGATAATGTCTGTGTGACTAGCTTCCCACAGAAGATGGGACCTGTTCTGGATTCTTCAGCCTCCTATCCTCTGTCCCTTTCTGGCTTTAGTTTCCTTGTCCATTGTATGCTTTTGGATAGATATTTGAGGTAATCTTATATTGCTTGGTCCTCTCATAGCTCCTTGGGCAGTCAGACAGCATCACCACTGGGGACAAGGAAATGAAGGTAGGGTGGTTCAGCCAAGTATTAAACCTTACTTTCTTCACTTTCCTCAGGCTCCGGTACGTGTAGTGTACTGATTCAAGATGCAGACATCTCCCCATTGCTGCCAGCTAAATAATTCCTCCTGGTGGTGCCAGCCCATCATTCATGGCCTTGTTCTGTGGGGTCTCTGTGTGCCAGTGCACTCACCTGTTTGAGGCAGAGGAGTCTTGCTTCTGTTTTACAACTACAAGAAAAGCCAGAGACACCTGGACCCTCAGAAGGTGAAGGCAGAGCAGCCTTAGCGTCCTTAAACCGAGACAGTTAGAACAGGACAGTGTGTGTGAGGTAGTGTACCAGGGTTTCTGGATCCTGGAGCCTGACTTCACCTTGAGTGCTTCTTCACAGCTTCGGTACTTTCAGGGAAATCACTAGTCCGTCTGCTCTTGGCAGCCTCCACCTCCCCCCAGTCTTGCCACACCAAACTAGCTCCTTTCTGTAGTTAAAAAAAAAGTAATTTTATTTAAGGAATTGAATAAAGGAACCTGCAATTACACAGCTGTGGTTGCCTTTTCTCCCCTATCACAGGAGTAAAGGAGCAGGTCTCTACCCTCTTCTCCACCCCAGCTGATGGTCCTTCTGTCCATAGCTTTCCCCTGTCCCAGATTTGTTGTTCATGTTTCTTGTAATCATCATTAATTCTTATCTAGGAAAAAAATTTTCCTAGATTATTTTTCCTCCATTCTTCACAATCCTACTTGGAACACAGAAACTCTTTAGGACTAGGTCCATGAGAACCACTGGACACAGCATAGCCTTATCAGACTCAATGTTATTCAAAGGCTTTGGCCCAGTTCTGACTGTGAAGCTTATCAGTCACACTCCTGTCCCTGAGAACACAAGAACGTCTCAGCACTGAAAACTCAGGCTCCAACTTTGTGAAGTCCAGCCAATCCTAGTTTGGAGAGAAGGGATTGATTTGTTTTGTTTTGTTTCCCACCAAGGAAGAGACCAACTTGGTGGTGGAAAGCCAGCAAGGACAGCAGACCTGCTGCTGCTTTGGGCTTTGAATTGTTTCTGGCTTAGAGACATTTGCCTCCCTCTGTCAGAGAGATGCTTCTCCTTTCCTTTCTCTGATGGTCCCTCATTGCAAAAGGAGAAAAGTGCCAGTGGGTTTGTAAGACACAGAGATTCCTACTTACATCAAGTTATGTTACTGAATAGCTGCAGCAGTGCTAGTTATCAGTGATTTTTGCTTGCAATCCTTTCAATGAAATTAATATTTATATATTTGTAACTGTACATTATGCAGAGTAATCATTACCATGGTATTTATTTTAAAGCAATAGTTCCCTTGTTCTTTCTTGTCCAAGTGTTTTGGTCTTGCCTCTTTCCCTTCTTCTTAATCAGCCTCAGTAGAAAACAAATACCAGAAGAATGTTCAGCTTGCTTGAAGAACATCATTGAAACAACAGCACTTGCTTTGCTGACGTCGACTATTGACATTCAATGCACAATAACCTGGTTTTCATTATTGTGAATAGATCATCTATTTAGAAAACCTCAGCTCAGTTTGGGGTTTGGGTTTTTTTAGTACTTGCTATTTCTGACTGAGTGGCAATAGCCCTGGCTACACCAGGTCTCCTGTGTTCAGTACCTGGCACATCCTCTGCACGTGCAGTACTGCAGCCATAGGAGATAGGCTCTAGTTTTTCACCTGTGTTTCGCCCCCACACATACATGTACATGCAAACAGTTCTATGACCATTTTTGTTTTGTTCACACAAATCTTAGCAAGTCTGAGTCCAGAAAAGGGTTTGTTTTAGATTCTGATAAATATTTTATTAAAAACTGATTTTAAGACAATCTTGTCTGCCTCTTCTTATTCACATTGTAGGCTGTAAGTTTGTTTGATCATAGATTAGGGTGAGGACAGAAGTCATGTCTGTACCAGTGAAACTAAAGAATTCAGGAACTCTAAGGAGGTTTATCACTCATTTTCTACCTTGCTGCTTACTGGGATATGCCCTAGTTGTGTCTGAGAGATGAGTTGGCCGCATTTTGTCAAATTCGCAGCAGGTTCCAATAAGCAACAAGCTTGGTCACCTGCTTCGTAAGACAGCTCTTGATTGTGTATGACATCACGCAAAAGTGTGGAGTTCTAGAGTGAGGGTTTTATCAATTCCTTCTTTAATATTTCCCTCCAAGAGACATAATATTTCTTTTTTTAAAATCCATTTAATACAATCCTTGCCTCAAATTATGGATGCCAAGGGTCATTTGCAAAAATAGGGATTAGTGAATGGGATTTTTACACTTGTTACCAACAATGGGCTGACTTTACTATGGTATTGCTTACTAATCAAGCCAAGAATGTATTTGCTAGAAAAGCCAGTGCTCTGCATTCTCTTGACAGTATGTTTTAATTCAGGAGAGTACCTTTCACGTAGGTACCTCCTAGTACTTTTGAAACGTTTAGAAATTTGGTTTTGCAAGCACCTGTTCTTTTTCAGTTTTAGGTGAAGGGAATGTGCGTTCAAGGACAGCAAGCAAGTCAGTAGCAGCAAAAAAAAAAATAGAACACAAATAGCAATCAGTCTGCAAGATGCATTAGGAAAACCAGACCTAGATATATTGGCAAGAACATCCCTGGCAATACGTGACCAGATGAGAAGTTGCATGCGGTAACAGATCTATGCATGTTCAGCACTCCACATCTTGGCTGGACTCCGCACCTCTCAAGGAATCCTGTGGTCCAGGTTTATTCAGTTTTAGCTGTGCAGACAGGAGACAGGACTTGTCTCCTGGGAAATACTGCTCGCTGCTCTGGATGAAACTTGTGGGATCCCAGTGTTGTCTTCATCTCATCCCCAGTGTATGTTGCAAGTGCCTTGGGAGCAGGGAGCTGGG